TAAAGCTGTAACTTTTTTTTCACGAACGACCAAAAAAGCACAGGACGAATATCGAGCACACCGGTGCAAGCTCGAAAACCCCGGTTAGAGTCAGGCATCTGGGTTTCGTAATCTCTCAGGCGTCGGCGCATTGTTTCTATTCAGATTAGCACCGCAGTACAAGGCTTAACCGCAAGAGGACCACACTCCCTACCAATTTTGAAAGGCGAAAACTTTTGAGCGAGGCACTGCCGCCGATGGTGGGCCAAGTTCTTTGACGTCTGCGAAACGCGATCGAGTTCTAAAAAATAAAAACATCTTACGCATGCGCCAATCAACTATCAAAAAAGTGTGAGCCTTGTGTAAATTCATTTATTTTCCTAGTTTTTAGTCTCTTGGGTCGTCTTAGTCGGCCACACAAACGTGTGTGGCTGCGACGGCGGGAGTTGACTCTGCAGGGACCGCTTACGGAGTTAGCCCTGGGTCCCCCAAGCTAGTACTGTAGGAAAGCAAATCGAAGTAGGAGCAATATGAGTCGAACGCTTTACGTTGTACCTAAGTCCCGCGGCGCAGACGAAGAAATGTGAGAAATCAAGTCAGTCGGCTGAGCAAGAACTCAGAGCCATTATATATACAAGAAACGGGCCGCCCCAAGCGGGCGGCCCTCTTGATGCTCGGCGAAGGGGCCGGCAGAATGAGCGAAGATGGCGGGGAGGGCTTGAATTAACTCTATGACCACCCAGAAGCAACGCCGCGCAGCAAGCCGCGCGCGGTGGAGGCGGACGGTGTTGGCTTCCATCCAAGCGGGCCCCCCGGCTTCTGACAGGGAGGCCATGCGCCCGGTGGCGAGTGTCCGCCCGGTGGCGAGTGTCCGCCCGGTGGCGAGAGGTCCGCCCGGTGGCGAGGGGTCCGCCCGGTGGCGAGAGGTCCGCCCGGTGGCGAGGGGTCCGCCCGGTGGCGAGGGGTCCGCCCCGTGGCGAGTGTCCGCCCGGCGGCGAGCGGTCGGGACGGCCGGCCGGCGTGCGATGGGCGCGCGTGGCGCCCGCGCCCCCCCGGCCATCCTGATGAATGCATGAGGCGCACTCCCCTACGTACGGCCCAAGGAAGCGCCCCACTTCGGCCCGCCCCGTCGGGGAATCCTCGGTGGAGGGCCATCGCGACCGCATTCAATTTGGAACCCAGAGGCCCATTATCCTAGCCCCGCCGCAAGGGTCCGGCCTGCCTGCGACTGAAGAAACGACGCCCAAGAAAAAAGGCGAGCAGCCGGCCCGCCATTTCAAGTGGGAAAAACAGGGAGACCCTGCGGCCCATTAGCAGCAAGCCCCCCGCACGGCTCGCCGGGGTGTCTTCGGATGCATGTGGGAGCGAGGGCGTCACTGCAACGAACCCCGTTCAATTTTGGCCCCTGCGGTCCATCAAAGCGCCTCCCTCGTCTTGGCGTTCGGTTTCTTCGCGACTGAAGAAGTGGCGCCCGAGAAAAAAGGCGAAAAGTCGGAAGGGAGGCCATTTGAAAGAAGGTGACGGGGGCCCTAAGGCCCCTGAAAAAGTCCCCTGTCGGGTCGTCGGGGCTTCCCGGGTTGGGGGTCATCGCAACCCCATCCGACTGCAGCCCCCTGTCTGGATGTTTGGTCTGCGAGTTAAGAAACAAACGGGGCCCAGGAAAAAAGGCGAGCACCCAGGCAGCCATTTTGAACGGGGTTGGTAAGGGGACCCCTAAGGCCCACTAAAAAAGGACCTCTGAGGCCCACTAAAATAAAAAGTCCCCCCCTGGGTCGTCGGGGCTTCCCCTGTTGGGGATCATCGCAAGCGCAACCGATTTTGGCCCCTCGGGCCCACTAAAAAACGCCCTTTCTGGGTGTTCGGTTTGCGACTGCTGAAACGGGGGGGCCCAAGAATAAAGGCGAGCACCCGGCTAGCCACTTCAAACGGGGCAAATCAAGGGGACCCCGAAGGCCCATCAAAATGTCACCGGCTGGGCCATCGGGAATTGCTCGGCTGGGGGTCATCCCAACCCCAAACAATTTCGACCCCTCGGGCCCACTAAGAAATCCGTCGTCTGGATGCTCCGTCGTCAACAATTCCAAGGGAAAAGACCAAAAATCCCAAAGGGGGGAAGGCGGGGGGAATACGGGAAGGGCTTTGCCATTCCAACTCCATGCGAGCGATTTCGGCCCCTCCCTCAGGCCCATTGAAAAGCCCCCCTTTCAGGGCCGCACGACTTTCGTCATTATTAGCGCCGGAACTGTAGCAGTCAGCTCGACGCCCCTCCCTCAGGTTGTTCCGAAGTAGGCGGGGGATGTTCCGAAGCAGAGAAAAAACCAAACAACCCCGACCCCAAAAGCCCCCGGCGCCCCCCCCCGCGGTTGTCTTTCGTTTCAGCATGGACGCGGAAAGGGCGCATGGCCTGGAAACCCCTCCGCTGCCTGGGTGTTCCTATTTTTTTGGCCAGCAAATCCATAAAAGAAAAAAGTCGAACAGCCGGCCAAGAAAAGGCGAACACGAAGCGCGGACAGACAAAAGCGAAAAGGCCGGCCAACCATCTCAAACGGGGTATGTAAGGGGATCCCCAAGGCCCACTAAAATAATAGCCCCGCTTTGGGTCGCCGGGCGAGGTTTCCTCGGACGATTGGGGGTCATCCCAATCTCAACCGATTTCGACCCTTAGGGCCCACTAAAAAATCCTCTTTCTGGATTTTCGGTTTGACTGTTGAAACGGGACCCAAGAAAAAAGGCAACCACCCGGCCAGCCATTTCAAAAGGGGAAAGGGGACCCCTTAGGCCTACTAAGCAGCCCCCTCTTGGGCCGCCGGGGTTTCCTCGGTTCGGGGTCATCGCAACCCCAATCGATTTCGACCCCTGAGGCCCACTAAAAAACCCCCTTTCTGGGTGTTCGGTTTGCGACTGCTGAAACGGGGCCGAAGAAAAATAAAAGACGAACACCCGGCCAGCCATTTTAAACGGGGTAAGGGGGCCCCGAAGGCCCACTAAAAAGTCCCCTGTTGGGTCGCCGGGGTTTCCTCGGTTCGGGGTCATCGCAACCCCAATCGGTTTCGACCCCTAAGACCCACTAAAAAACCCCCTTTCTGGGTGTTCGGTTTGCGACTGCTGAAACGGGACCCAAGAAAAAAGGCGAACACCCGGCCAGCCATTTTAAACGGGGTACGTAAGGGGGCCCCGAAGGCCCACTAAAAAGCCCCCTGTTGGGTCGTCGGGGTTTCCTCGGTTCGGGGTCATCGCAATCCCAATCGATTTCGACCCCTAAGGCCCACTAAAGAGCCCCCTTTCTGGGTGTTCGGTTTGCGACTGCTGAAACGGGACCCAAGAAAAACGGCGAACACCCGGCCAGCCATTTCAAACGGGGTAAGGGGCCCCTAAGGCCCACTAAAAAGTCCCCTTTTGGGTCGTCGGGGTTTCCTCGGTTCGGGGTCATCGCAACCCCAATCGATTTCGATCCCGAAGGCCCACTAAAAAATCCCCTTTCTGGGTGTTCCGTTTTCAATAATTCCGAGGAAAAGGGCCAGAAATCCCAAAGGGGGGGGGATAGCGGGAGGGAATGCGGGGGGGGTTGGGGGGGGGTTGCCATTCCAACCCCATGCGATTTCGACCCCTAAGGCCCTATATAAAATCCCCTTTTCAACAGCAAAGAATTGTCATCATTATTAGAACTGTAATTTATCATTATAGCGCAATGAATGCAAAAGCAAACATGGACGAAATTTATCTTCCTCGTTATTTTGGCCCAAGCTACGCGGGGGGTGCGGGCAAGTACGTACTTATTCAAAAAGGCCGGCCCCCCTATGCGTGTAAGGCTTGGATCGGGACACCTTGCAGCACGAAAGTCCTCCTAAAAAAAAAAGGCGCCGCCGCCGTATTATCTGAAAGAAAACGAAAACATGAAAGGCCGGGGCGCTGCGGAGAAGCCGCCGCAGGCACGCCTCTCACCAAGTCGGACGAAGTTTATCTTTCTCTTTTTTTCGGCCCAAGCTACGGTGGGGGCGCGGGTACCTACCAAACAGAACCGGCCCCGCCCTTACGCGTGTAAGGCTTGGGCCGTGCCACTTTTGTGGCGCGAATTTTTTGGAGCCGCCACCGCTACCGCCCCGCCTCCAGCTAGTAGGCAAAGGCGAAGGCCCATTTTTGTCCTCGAAAGCAAACTGCTTTCTGTGCCCAGGGCCGCAAGCACATAAATACCTCCGTAGTACGTCAAAAGCCTTAATATAGTTTTAGTTCTATCTGCTTCATCAAGCAGACTGCTTGGCCCAACAATTCTTCACATCTGTGAGACACATACTAACGATGTCTTTTTCAATCAGTATCAGATTTTTCAGCTCAATTTTTCAGTGGGACAGAAACTCCGAATTCTGTACACAACAGCAGGCATTAATTATGCGTGATGTAGTTGTATCGCAAGAAAGAACTGTTTCACTGTAAACCTGTGACGCAGAGAACGAAACACCAAAGTGTTTGTCTTGCTACACCTGCAACGCAATGGCTTTTTAAGCGTGTTTTCCCTTGGGAAACGCGCATGGCAAATTTTCTGTGTCATGTGTAAGAAACTTGTGATGCAGATCTTGCAAAACCATCACAGTGAAGCAGTTTTTTCGTGGGATATGTTGATATAATTCGTCGTCCGAGTGCCGTCGCGTGGAAGACAGCCCCGCGCACTTCCTCTATCAAAGTGAAAAAAGCCCCCACCCCATATCGGAAACGGAAGATTCGCGAATTTGTGATGCTGTATTTGAGTACACAAATCGACGTGTATTGCTAGAAGGCCAAGAGACGAAGCTGCGGCCTAAATTGCAGGCAATCTGTCATGCTGTTTCCCACTTCCAGTTGCCTCCTGTCATCCTGGCGCTGCAAGGCTTTCCCACGTTAGGCAGCACTACAGTCCGGCGCATCTTTTGCCTTCTAGCATCACAAAGCTGATTTGTGGCCACAAATCTGCATCACAGATTTCCGTTTTGATATGGGGAGGGGGCATTTTTAATTGTAATATCCTCGAATGCTATGCGATAGGTATCAACCTTGAAACACTATCATGTCCGCAGCGTCTTGCCAAGGTCTTCGCCTATGTGGCACATGTGCCACCAGACGACTCCAGCACCGACGCAGAGCTTTGAACCCCTCGCGGGGCTTCCCGCCCGTGGGCACTACGAAATTTCGTATAACGCCGTACCTGGTGGCAGGCACGCAAAAGCATCTGTCAGAGGGCATGATGCGTGATGTGTGAGACTACATTCAGCTTGCCGCTGAAGCTGCTTCACATCTAAAGACCGTGGCGCAAGTATCGATCGAAATGACGCTCGCAGCGAGAACCGCATTGGTGCAGACATCAGGAACAATAAGGAATTGATTTTGCCGGAGCTCACACAGACGCCCGCCCCCCTAGGGGACGCGTAGGCTCCTCCAGGCTCCGACGTTCACATGTTCTTGAGATGATCGCGCGGTCCTCTTGAAAGTAGACCCAGCAAATTCACAGAGGGGCGCTACACACTTTTGCTCGTCCGCCGAAAGCGTTTGGGGGCGGGATTGCTTTATTCCCGCTGTCACGTTAATAAGTATCTTCGGACGTTTTTTGTCGGTTTTCTTTGTAAAAAAATGACGCACGAAGTAGAAATATTTGTCGCTCGCGCCGCCGTGGAGGGGGCACAACGGCGCGGGATATTCTTCATAACTATAGAGCAGTAGAAATTTTAGAAACGGAGAGACCAAAGGAACATCGTGCGAAAGGCAGTGCGCTAACTAGAATAGGGAATCCACAACGCCCCAAGGATTTTGCCTCTGAGGTAGTACATCCGTCGCCAGATAGGGTCCTGGGGGTTTCAGGTAGAAAGACAGCCAGGCAGAATGAAATATGACCCCTCGGTAGACATAGATCCCGGGGGTGGGAGATAAATCCCCAGGGAGAAAGACCCCCAAGTAGATAGATTCACAGGAGGGCTCCCAGGGACGGAGACACACCCCCAGGGACATAGATTCTCAGTGAGATGCTTAGACTTAGAACCCCAGGGAGATAGGTGCCCAGGGATTTAGTTTTCTTCTAGGGAAATAGCCCCCCAGGTAGATTGATAACATAGACCCCAGGCACTGACTTAGGTAAACTCCAGTGAAGTAGGGCCCGAGGCTGGCAAGCAGCCCCCCAGGTATGGGAAGGCTTTCAGCGGTAGAGCCCAAGGTATGGGCAGGCGTGCAGGTAGGCCCCCAGGTATGGGCAGGAGCTGCGCCCCCTGCGCTCGGCTGGCTTTATTCTACCTGCCGGGCAGAACTGGCAGCGCCTTCTTCCGCTTTGCTAGCTTTCCCTTCCCACCCTCGGCCGGAAGCGCGGCTTTAGTTGGAAGGCAAAGGGGCCGAGAGCATGCCAGGAAGCTACATGACCCGGAGGCCGTGTTGGCTTTGTGCGCCCTCCCCTCAAATATGGAATGATCTCTCAAGAGCGCCGCTGTGCCACATTCCCCCGAGCTGGCGGGCCCGGGTAGATGTGTTTTCCCGCGAAACCCCCCGGGTGCCTCCTGTTTCTTGCCTTCGTGTGGGCCTGCAGTCGTGCGCGTGGCCCCGCTTCTCGCCGGGCCAGGCTGGCCCCATTTACTGGGGTGGGGACGCACCGCGCCGCCTGCCAACAGCCACAAGGCTGCGCAAGGAGAGCACAGACAGCAGGCATGTGGGGACAGCCACTGGGCGCCAGACGCTTCGCAAGCGCGCCCGGGACAGCAACATGGCCGCGGTGAGTCTGGGGCCGGCACGCAGTCGGCGGCCCGTTGTCCCTCCGCTACCAAACACAGGCCAAGGGGCGGCGGGGGTGGTTAGCACGAGAGCCGCCGGCCAGCAGGGACCTAACTAAGATGGGCGCGCACATCGAGAATGCTACCTGGCTACTTCATTGGCCGGCATTCGGTGATGTTGAGCCGGAGCAACGAACGCAAAAGAGCAAAGCGCAGGGGCTGGAGTGTAACATCTGCACCTACTCCGCACGGTTCGGGCGCGGTATTTTGTAGCGTGCGTCTCCGTGCTTTAGGCGCCTGGTGCGCAGCTGTATTTTAGGCGCCGGCCGGAGAACAAAACCTCTAGGAATGGTCTCGAAGGTCTCGCCTTGCGTTGGCTCAACATGCAGTAAAAAGGCGGAAGGGCAACGCGTGGGGTTATATATTGCCGAACCCAGGCAAGGGCAACATTTGAACGCACTGAGAAAATGCCGCCCAGAATTTTTTCTGCGTGGGAATCTGCGCAGTTTTTTTCAGTAGGAGACCAAAAGCTCTAGAGGTCGACCTCTAGTGGTCGCCCTCTCCTTTTGGTCAACTTTGCTCAGCCGTTCGCCCGCGATAGGCGAAATTTTTTCTCGGACCTCTAGAGGCCGCTCCTCTCCTTTGCTATAGGTCTGGAGTATACTGTCGGGCGAAAAAATGACAAAAAAACCGAAAACGCCCGACCTCTAGAGCTCGCCCTCATGTTTTGGTCAGAATTGCTATAGCTTAAATCACTCCCAGCATCGTGATTGACCAATTTTCAAAGAGTCGCCGTTTTTGGGTTTGGTCTCGTTTTCGTCAGATTTTGGTCAAGTTTTGGTCAGAATCTTATCGGGATTTGGATTCTCATTCCTTTGGTGTCTCCTTTTTTCACAAGTTGCTACGAGTCTATAGTTCTTTAAAACTATGAAAGAGAGGACTATGAACAAGTTTGCTGCTAGAACTCGGTCCTCACCTCTCCATCCGGCGCCAAGTCGGCTCTCAGAACAAGATGGAGGCTAAACAAAAAGAACGCGCTCGGTTGCAAATATAGTACTCCTGCAGGAGCAGCTACAGGGTAGTAGTTCCTCCCTGCGTGACTTTCAACATCTAGGTGCGCCAGAAAGTCGATCTTCGGTCTCACATTCACTCTCATCTCTGTATAGTACTTACCAATATGCTCATGCTTTTTAGAAGAGGGTCACAAAATGTCCGCTTAGGTCCTCAGGGGACCTTCGACCCACCCAGCTGGGTGGGCCTTAGGTCCCCTGCCCTAAAAATTATTATAAGGCAACAAGGGGCCTAGACGTGACCGGGCGGGCCACGTCCGTCCGGTCGGCCGAACGGCACCTGACCGGGAGTCAGTAGGTCGTGGCCCTCGGAGGTGGTGGCCGCCGGGAAGCGCGCACCCGGGCAACTAAGAAAAAAAAGATCAGCACGAGCGTGGCACTTCACTGGAGCAGCGCCTCTCTTGCCCACGCTCCCCTCCGGACCCGGTCACGCAGCCGGGGGCCGTCAGCTAGCTCCTGGGAGTATTCCACGCGGGCGACCGGTCGCAAAGCGTTTAGGGTTTACCGCTATAATAGGCATGCATGCGGATTCAAATATATGTTTCCGATTTAGGGTCCAAGGGTTTTTGTATGGCCAATGTGGCGCAAGCGTCAATGCTCTGGTGGTGTCGGCCCACTGTTACAATACACGGCGCGACCCCCAGCGAATCACGACCGGAGCACACACACGGATACCGATACCAGCTAGCCGGGGCGCTCAACTAAAGAAAGAAGGTCATGACGAGTTCGGCCTTTCACGGAAAAAGGGACGACTCTTACCCCTGGTCTGCCCCCGGTGACGCGAGCTTTTAGCCTGTGCTCCCATCCAACAAATAAAAAACAGGTCATGCGTTCGGCCTCTCACGAAAAAAAGGCATGAATCCTCCCCCCGTGCTCCCGCCCCGGTCGCGAGGCCGCCGGCTGTCTTGCTCCGGCGGCTCTGCACATTGATCCAATGGGGCGGGGTTTTTTTTTAAAAGAAAGGAGCCCCCCTCTGTACATAGCTGCTACGGGTGCAGCGGCGCAAGGAAAGGCCAGCGCTGCTTAACCGATGGCCGCAGCTGTTGCTGCATTCAGCGCCAAAATCGCCCCGAGGCAGGAATGCCCCCGGTCATGTGCCGTCCGGCCGGCCGGACGGACGGACGTGACTCAGGCGGTAGCACCCCGGGCGGATTTTCCTTCTAAAAATGGGCTAAAATTCCCGGTCTTTCAAAAAATTGCAAAGGTGCGCGCCTGGCCCCGTCCGCCCTCTGTTTCCTGTTGCCGCCTCCTTGTGTGGGCCCTGTTTCGATTCCGAAGCGCCAACAGGCCCCCGCCCCTGGTGTTTCGGCTTGGCGGTTCCCCCGGTTCCCTTTGTCTCTCTCACTCGCGCCGGGCGCGCAGAAATTTTAAAATTTAAAAATTCGCCCCGTTTTCGGGGAAAACAAATTTTGTTTGGCATTCCGGTTGTCGGCCGGTCGGGGTGTGTTGCATGCGCATGGTGGCCGTGCAAGGGGTTGTAGGGTTATGTCGCAGGTAGGACAGTTTCGGGGGAAGCGTCGCCACACCTTACTCGTGTTCCCCCCGAACACAAGTTAGGTGTGTTGCAGGAGTAGATGACGCTTTGTAGGAGACGGCGTTCGAGCCTGGTGTTGGAGATGATGTTCTATATGCATGTCGAACATCATTTCCAAACATCACCTACATTCCGCTACGCCCGGCGGGAATGTTTCGCATGGTCCAGTTTTAGAAGATCGGAGCAATTCCCGTTTTCGGCTTCTAAAACTGGTCACATTCGGCTTCTAAAATCCCGGACGCGCGGCTTCTAAAATCACAAAACAGGCAAATCGTGCGGGATTTTGCGTGTTCAGTGATTTTAGAAGATTTTTAGAAGCCGGACATGGTCCGGGATTTTCCCATCTCCGGCCTGGGAATTAGAAGAAAACTAGAAGATTTTTTAGAAGGTAAATTAGAAGTGCACTTTAGAAGGTTTTTTAGAAGCCATTTTAGAAGGTTTTTTAGAAGCCATTTTAGAAGGTATTTTAGAAGGTGTTTTAGAAGGTTTTTTAGAAGGTAGGCGGGGAAAGCAGTGTCGTGGTCATTCCAGAAGTGAAAACTAGAAGCCACCTCCGCAGGTGGCTTCTAAGATTTGCTTCTGAACTGGCTGCGAGCAATATCCTGTTTTTGGAGTTTCCCCTGGAGGCGCGCTCGAGATTTTCCTCGAGTACAGCGCCGGCCTCGGAAGCTTCCGAAAGCAGGCCGCCCCGCTTGTGGTTGTTTGTCGTTTATCCTAGCCCGGGGTGATGGGGTGGTGGTCGTGTCGGTTTTGTGGCGATGGGTGTCCGAAGCCATTGCGGCACCAGGGTGATGGCATCGGGCCTCCTTGCTGCGTTGCAGGTTGTCTGTCTTGCTCCGGGTGCGGGGCAAAGGTTGCGCTTTGGGCAGAAGATTCGGGAGCGGCAAAATTTGAAAATCCCGGGAAAATTAGAAGCGTTTTAGAAGCGGGGGCCGCCCGGGTGTTTCCCGCCTGACGTGACGCCCCCGGTCACGTCTAGGCTCCTTGTTGCCCTGTTGTAAGTTTTGAAGCACATTCGCTCTCATCTCTGTATAGTATTTACCAATATGTTCATGCTTTTTATATTTTTGAAAAGATCTTATCATGTGCCTCGAAAGAAGTGATTTCACTACAGCTTTGATGTCGGTGCTTCATCATGTGGCCGCGCAGGAATGGACTGCAAAAGTATCGTACTAGTAGTAATTATCGCATTACAAATTCACTCAGCATGACAAATGGAGTTTGTCAGTCTGTTTTCCCTTGGGATGGGGATTTGTAATGCATGACTGCGATTTCAGTATAGCTCCGATGTCGGTCGTCCATGATGTGGCCTCGCAGGAGTATGCTTACTGGGCAAGAACAACCGTGCCGAAACTTACTGTTAAAAAGCTTGGGGACAACATCTACATCGGTGTGCTGTGGTGAGCTTCGGTTCAGTGTGCAACTAGTCGATATTATTTCAGTCGTCGTGCGCGCGGTCGTGCCATCTTATTTGATAAAATCTATCTATGAAAATAAGCTACATTGGAAAATAGTAGGCAAATTATAACTTCCAGGCCGCTGCTCCTCGCATGAAATGCAAATGTAGTTCTATATACCAACATTGTTTCTTGTTACATCTTGAAGAACAACTAACTTACGTTTTCATCACCTGTACTTGAGTATTTAATTTATCTTTCCAAGAGTACAACTTCTATCTCGTGCTCGCATGATCATGTTGCGCATCGGAGGACTCGCCGCGCTTTATTTTTTCAGCGGCCTCTCAACAACGTTTGCGCTCGGGATGAAGTTGTACGGCCAACGCATTTATCAAGTGCAAATATGTCTGGGTCTGGAAGATTCTGCGACTTGTCATGCATGTCTGACATGACTCGAGAATCTGTGATGCGTGGGCACGAACCGGCTCTCCTATCTGTCACGCAAAAACGCAGTTTCTCATGTGGAATACGCAACACGTACCCGCTCAAAAATTTGTCATGCTTGGCTGCGTATTGCAGTCCGGCTATCATCCAGTGTAGCATTAAGTACAAGTTTCCAGACCCAGACATATTTGCAATTCATAGCATTAGCACCTTCAAGGAGCGTACTTTCCTGCAGCAGGAAGAACAAGAAGCACAAGGTCGGCTACACATGCTATTGCAAGGAAAAATCCCCCCTCCCCATTTTGAACGCGCATCCTGCTGAAAATTTGTGACGCAGATTTGTGACCACAGATCGCGTCTGTCTTGCAAGAAGGCACATTCAGGCCGTCCGCTCTTTTAGCAACGTTAAATAATAGAACGTTACTATGCAGGCGCTCTGTAGAAATGCTGTAAGCGTAAGGCCCACAGAGTGCGTAGCCGTCTACCATGCTAGGCGCCTACACCAAAAGACCCTCGCCTAGGCTGGCTTAGGATCTACTGCGTGCCGTCCTTTACTGCAATAGTACGCATCTGTTGACTTCTTGTGTACTCAAGTCCAGCATCAGAAATTTTGATTTGATATGGGGAGGGGGGATTATTTTTGGTTGTATTACAGGGATCTCAACGGTGCTTGTGGATCTCAACGTTGAGACCTCACAGCTCAACGTTGAGAAATATATCTCAACGATCAGCAGTGGTTTAGGGTTTCGGGTTTAGGATTTGGGGTTTAGGGTCGTCGGGCAGGGCAGCCGCGGCTGCCCTGCCCGACGATTCTCTCGTCGCCTCCCTGCGCTCTTGTTGCCCGGTACGTTGTGCGCGGCCCGTTGCCTTGTGTGCCCTGTGTCCCACTATGCGTGGAGCCTTCGCGCGTTTTTCTGAGTATCTATGAGCCCGCTCGCTGGCAGGACCTCTGAGAGGTTTGCTGCGGGGGCTTGGTGCGCACCTTCACGCCATGCAGTTCTTCTGTGTGCAGACCGTTGAGACCAGTCGTTGAGCTCATCGCGAATCCGTTGAGGCGTCTCAAAGCGTTGAGGCGCGACCGTTGAGATTCACTCGTTGAGATTCCTGTATAACAACCATTATTTTTCCTTTCGATGCATGCACGAACAGCATCACGAGTTTCTTGCTGATCCTTCTACTCCTTCTTGCCCAGACCAAGCACCGAGAGTGTTCGTGTATGGCTTTCCGCCCAAGGAGTTACTGAGTCATATGGTGTTCTCAAACGTTCCGTTCTCAGCTTCTGTTACATGATTTGTCATGCAAAATGACCATGAGCCGCCAAACGATCAAGCTGCTTCGCAAGACAAATTATCGCCGGGCTAAACAGCATCTAAATTATCCGTGCCAAATTTGTGATGCAAGACTTGCAAGCTTGCCCCTTTCCCTATTGCTGTTTTTGCATCACAAATTCGTGTAACAGTTGAGGATGTAACATTTGAGAACTCCATAAGTCACGGGACACGTGACATCGTTTGGCGGGAGGATGCGTACTGCGAAAGAGAATTACCGTCTGGCTCGGCCGAGGAGCGCGATTGCGTCTTCGGTCCGGAGTTCTCCGTTACGATCGATTCGCCGCCAGCCAACGTGACGCTCCGTGCCACTGACCAGTTTCGAAATGGCCGCATCTTCCAATCCCGCCTGGTGCGCTCAGCTTGCAGAGTCACAGATCCCACACGCGCCGATGTGTTTTTCGTGCCCATTTGGCGCGAGAATTACAAAGTGAACCGCACCGAGTGCCCGACGGAAGACGAAGTTTTGGCTGCTCTTCCCTACTTGTCCGACGAAACGGCGAGCAAGCACTTTCTGATGTCTCCGCGTGTCGGGGGATTGTGGGATGACGTGTGCCCTTTTTGGAATAGCGAGAAGCCGCTGCTCCAGAAAATCCGAAAGATGGCCCTGGAAGACACAGCCTGCGGCAAGGAGGACCGGCCGGAGCGTTCTATTCCGTATCCGACCCTCGGTGGCGGTTTGAACAGTACGCAACTCGCCCACCTGTTCGCCGTCGCCGATAAAGCGCAGGAGACCGGCAGGGAATTTCTAGTCATGGCCACTCTGGGGAAACGCGTTGGCATATCAAAAGGAAAAATCCCCCCTCCCCACATCAAAACGAGATTTCTGATGCTGGATTTGAGTGCACAAATCAGGTTTGTATTGCAGGAAAGCATTGCAGTCAGATCCCCAGGCTAGGCAGGGGCGTATGCGTCTAGTTGTTCAGCATGGCAAGCGGCTCCCCTTTAGGCCCAATAGCATGACAAATCGCTTCCATAGTGTGGCGGAAGCTTCTGCCGTTGTCTTCTTGCAATACAAATGTGATTTGCGACCTCAAATCAGCAACGCAAATTTTCGAAAACATACCTTTTCGATATGGGGAGGGGGGATTTTTGCTTTTGATATGGCATCTCCTCTGCGCGCGTGCGCGACGTTTGGAATCAACACTGCCACGACAGCGACCATTGTATTGCGGTGGACCCCACGGTATCAAATGTAAAAATGTCTGGGTCTGGAAGATTCCGAGATTTGTCATGCAGTTTTTCCAAGCTCCACAAAGTCTGGAATGCAGGGCCTAGCATCACAGGTTCTGCAGCCCCTTGGTGATGCCCATTATGCATGAGAAATGCCCTCTGAGGATGCCGAGAAATGGGGACCTTTTGCAATTCATGCGAACACAGATTTTTGTATCATCCGCAACACGCATCACAAGTTCGCATTCTTCCAGACCCAGACATTTTTACATTTGATACACGGTGGCAGGCATGCTCCCTGGGTTGGTCCAAGCCATGATGAAGTCCACCTTTTGCTTGCAGCCGGAAGGAGACACTCCGTCTCGCAAGGGGATGCTGGACAGCTTGGCGCTGGGATGCATTCCGGTGCTTTCGTCCCGGAAACAGCACACGCTGTGGCGTTGGCATCTGGGAGACCACGACTGGGAAGATTTCTCTGTGCTGGCGCCAGATTCCACGCAGGCGGCACACTCAACCACTAGGGGCAATAAACCCACCCAGCCGGGGCAAAACCACCCAGATACAACCCCGGGGCAAAACGACCACCCAGCCGACGATATCAAATGTAAAAATGTCTAGGTCTGGAAGAATGCAACTTGTGATGCTGCGTCTGCATTATCCGAAAATCTGTATTGCATGAACAGCAGAAGAGGTCTGGTTTTGGCCACGGCGAGAGGGCATTTCTCATGCGGTATAGGCATCAGAAAGCCCTGCTCACAAGACCTGTGATGCTAGGGCATGCATCGCAGACATCAGTCATGCAAAATGTGCATGACAAACCTTGCATCCTTGCAGACCCAGACATTTTTGCAGTTGATAGGCGAGGACGGGGGGCAAAACCACCCAGCCGAAGAGGACGGAAGGCAAGACGAGCAAGACCAATCAACTGTCGGCAAGGGGCCAACATCGCAACGTTCGTTATCAAATGTAAAAATGTCTGGGTCTGGAAGATTGCCAGGTTTGTCATGCACATTTTGCATGACTCCTGATGTCTGTGATGCATGCCCTAGCATCACAGATTTTGTGAGGGCTTCCTGATGCCTATACCGCATGACAAATGCTCTTTCCGTGTAGCAAAACTTGGACTCTCTTTGCTGCTCACGCAATACAGATTTTTTTAGAATCCAAAAGCAGCATGACAAGTTGGATTCTTCCAGACCCAGACATTTTTACATTTGATGTTCGTGGTGCTGTGGCGATGGCGAGAAGAAATCCCCTCCAGCGGTGGCGCAGACGCTGATGGAAACTGGATCGTCCGGCGTCAACAACATCGTAGAGTTCCTGGAGACCATCAACGCGACCACGATCGCCGAACTGCGGGCCGGCGTGCGGAGTGCGCGGGAGAAAATCATCACGCACTGGACCGACACCGACTTGAACGACGCAATTACGGTCACGCTGAAAGCCATACAGGATGGCAAATGAAGACGAAGAGGAGAAAATGTTTTAAATGAAAAACACGGCTATATCAAATGCAACTATGTCTGGGTCTGGAAAGAAAGTTGGAACTTGTAATGCTAGCTTTACATTCCTGGAATATCTGTATTGCATAACCGACAAAAGGAGATTTTTGTCATGCAAAAACGCAGTTTCTCATGACATGCGGGCTGCCTATGAGAAAGTGCTCCGAAAAGTTGTCATGCTGCTCTGCATTCGGAACTGTTTCCATCATGCACATTTTAGCATCACAAGTTTCCAGACCCAGACATATTTGCATTTGATACGGCTTTACTGTCTACTACAACCCGTACGCCAGCGGCTTATGCTGAGGAAAAATCTCCCCTCCCCATATTGAAAGCGCATCCATCTGAAAACTTGTGATGCAGATTTGTGACCACAAGTGATCGCGTCTGTCTTGCAAGACGGCAACTTCAGGCTGTCCGGCACGTTATCCAGGCGATTTGTAATGGTGTAGGGCCTACAGGGCAGCCGTCTACCATCGACTAGGCGCCTATACCAAAAGGCCCCTGCCTAGGCTTGCGATCTGCGTGCAGTGCTCTACTGCAACACAAGTTTGATTTGTCTTTGTGTACTCAAATACAGCATCACAAATATCGTTCTCGATATTGGGAGGGGTGATTTTTCCTTTTGATACGGCTCATCTACATCATCCTTGCGTTGCTGAGGACCTTAAGGCGTTGGATATCTATCACTGTCTGTTGGTTTTACTTATTATCATTGACGTATTTTGAAAAAATTGCTTGTAACAACAAAACTTCTTCGCTCTACCAGTTCTGTTTTTCTCAAGAAAGAGCACAAAGTGGCTCAGTCTTCTATCTGGTATTTTTATTCATCTTGAAATAGCGCTAGAATGGTCAGCACACGAGAGAAGAAAACCTTCACCCGGATCATTCCGTGTATCCAATATGAACAAACAACCAAACAGCTTTTCATTTGCATTTTCTTCTATTGATCATCATGGTTCGAATTCAATTTTGTATGGTCTTGACCGACCAGCATGTAGTTTTTGCTTTATTAATAATTCGGAACTACTAGCCTGGTCGTCGTTGGGGTCGCGACCACATTCTACTTTCACTAATTGTAATTTTTGTACTAGTTTCGGTTTATCTTCATTCCGACCGCATGATAGAAGTACACATAAACAAAATGCAAACCTGTCTATGGAAGCGTCAGGATTGAAATCGTCAAAGTTGAATTTGAAAAAAAAAAAATGCATAAAATGCAACCCACAAAGCGCCTGTCTTGCAGAGTAGGCAAGGGAGGCATATTGCAAGCCTGTTGAGGGGTAGAAATAGAGCTGCTGAAGTAGCATGACAAAAGGCGTCTTCCTTTTACCCAAACAGCATTACAAACTGGACTTAGACACCACCAAAACTTGTCATGCGCCATTTCTAAACTGGGCTCCAACTGGCATCCATTTTATGCATGACGAACTATTTCAACTCTGACAAATTTCAAACCTGACACATCCATATTGTCTGGCTCTGAAAATAAGAAGTTGTGAAAAATTCGTAGAACAGCAAGATGGTTTCTGCTACACGGAGTGAGAGGCATTTGTCATGCGGATTAGGCATAAGGAACTACAAGCATACCTAATTCATAGAGTGTGACAGACCACGACGACATCAAACTGACCGCTACCAGAAATAAAAGTAGCCAGTGGCATGATGAGAAATTCATTTTGCAGGGCGTCCATTTTTAGCCTCTACGAAAACAAGATGTGAATGAATACGCATACGCACGAAACTCGGCAAGCATTTCCTGCATGACAGAGGTTGTCTGTCTTGCTTGTCTTTCATCAGAGCGTGTACTTCTAAGTGTAACACTTCTTATTTCTCACGATAAAAAAGGTCTCGACGTGGTCCACAAATAAGATCATCGTCTGGCTTCTACTCTACCTCCCGCTGCTGTTGTTCAAACAAAGAACTTGCGCCGTTTTATTTCGAAGCTTCACGTTGTCCACCCGTGTAAGACTTCTCAGAGTAAGTCGAAGTACTCATAATTGCAGCTTTATTCCAGCAAGAGAAACAAGATCTTGAAAAAATGCGTCGATCTTCTTGTGGCCGCTTTTTTTCCTTTTCTTTACGTTCAGCGAGCAGGTTCGTCATCTTTCAAGGTTTAGTTTTAAATCGAGCACTATACCATAGGGTAGTTTTTATCGGCCAGCGTTATAATTTCAGATTCGGAAAAATGTACGTGTCTAGCGCGCACATAAGAACTTACTTTTGATCCTAGTATATAAAATTCCTGCCGTGAAGATCCACACGCCTACTGATGAGAGAAGCTCCTGCTGGCTGCGCTTGCCACAGGAAATTATGACCTTTTGCGGCTTGTGCTCGCAACTAGTAGACCACCTCCGAGAATAAATACAACTTATCTATCAAGATAGATCAACATGATCTATCGGTAAAAATAAAACTACAATCAGCCTACTTCTTGCAACTAGCTGCGCGGCCGGCGCTTGCTTTTTGGTAGCGGCAGCCTTATTTTTCTGGCATAGAAGGAGAACAACTCGCACTCGCTAGAAGTGACGATCGAGGACCACCTAGTGCCGAGAATATTCAATAGCACGTGATGTTGTCGGACGGGAAGTGGAACGTATGTGAACAGCAGAGGCCTCTATCTCAAAAAGTACTAGTACTACCTTGATTTATTGTCCAGAGAAAAAAAAATGGCCGCCGCCAAAGCGAATGCGAACATGGCCCGACTACACAAGCACAGCGCGACTCTTCTCGGGGACCGCCTGTACGCAGCGGTGCGGATATGAAATGTAAAAATGTCTGGGTCTGGAAGAATGCAACATTTGTGATGCAGGTTTTCCATGACCCATGAGGCCGCGCATGCAGGACCTAGCATGACAGATTCTGCGCGATCTCTCTCATGCCTTTCCTGCATGAGAAACTCCCTCCCGACTTGGTCAAAACTGGACGACTTTTGGTAATCATGCAACACAGATTTTTGCATGCTTCAGATTTAGCATGACAAGTTGCATTCTTCCAGACCCAGACATTTTTACTATTGATAGCGGAGTGGCGACGGCAAATCCACGACATGCTCCTCCTCCTTACCTATGAACTGCAAAAGTGTCCTGCTGCTCGTATAAATGCATGACAAATCCCCTCAGCATGAGAAATAAAATTTGTAATGCGGATTTACATTGGGAAAAAAATTTGTAATGCACGACTGCAATACGAGTACTGTCACTGTGCGATACTTTTGCACAGGATATTACCCCGCCGATTTTTCAAGAAGCTGAAAAGCGGGACGAAACAGCTTTTCCTAAATTCTCGGTCACCGGCTGCGGCAGCGCGAGTAGGCGCGATATCTCCTCCCGACAGCGACGATCGGTTGCCACCGACACTGTACCGGGTGAAGAATATTGCATTTTCCGAGAAGCCGGGGAAAACCAGCAGGGAGGCGAGTGCGGCCGTGGGTAAAAATAGAGAGCAGGGTCCAGGAGCAAATTCCTATACCACCGATAGCACACCCACAGGTGATCCTTCCCCGCTATCGACTGTAAAAATGTCTGGGTCTGGAAGGGCCAAACTTGTGCTGCTGTATTTGGATGCTAAAAAAACCTGTATTGCATGACCAGCAAGAGGATTCAAATTTGGCTACGCGGAGACGGCATTTGTCTTTGTCATGCTGGATGCGCATAGATAAGCGCTCAAAAAATCTGTGATGCTATGGCATACATCACAGACATCATGACTCATGAAAAATGTGCATGATAAAGTTGTGCTGTTCCAGACCCAGACATTTTTGCATTTGATACCCGCCCGACGGAGCCAACATTTGTTCGGCACCGGTACTATTTTCCATCCCTGTCTACGGGCGGAACAAAAACACGCTGCTTCCGAGCACGCCCGTCGCGGTAGGAAATTGCAAATCTCTCTGAGTCTGGAAGAATGCAGAAGTTAGTCATACTGCTTTTGCATGACCGAGGACGGCTTGTATGCAGGAGCAGGCGGCAAAATTTTTTTGTTTTCTCGACAGGGCATCTCATTAGCATTCCTGCATGAGAAATTCCCGTATTTGGGTGACAAAAGGTCGTCGTCGTGGATGAGAGATTTTTGTCTGTGCAACTGCTTTAGCTGGCCAGGCATGACAGATTTTTGTGATGTCTCTTAAAATGCGCGTCTTCACAAGTTTGAGTATTCGCGCTTCAGACCTCCCAGATGACAGATTTGCAATGCATCGGCGTTCCTGAAACCCAACCAGGTGGTGCAGGTGTTGCCGCACGCGCTAAGGATCTGTGATGAGGAGCTAACGGAGGACAATTTGAGGAACTACAACTCGGGCATCGCCGGTTTGGAAAATGCAAAGTGGAAGCAGTTTTGGCTGGACACGCACCGAGGAGCAGGAGCCGCAGCCGCTTCCTCCTCTCCGTCCAGCTCGTCCTCTGTGGCGCCTGTAAATGTAATGAAGGACCACGGGGGCCAGCAAATGAGTTGTGAACAAGGAGGGAAAAAAAACCTCCCTGTGCAGACAGGCCACGAACCCGAAGTGGTAGAAGCAAGGACGAGCGAAACATCGTCAAGACGGGAAGGTGCAGAAACGCTTTCTCACCCCGCCCTCACTCCACCGTCTCCGTGGATCCCGGTTCGCATCGCGCCGGACGCCATGGAGGTGCTTACCATGCCGAACACGGTCGGCGGCATGACACTATCACGAGGAAAAACTCCCCCTCCCCATAATCTTCAAACGGAAAGTTTTCAGTACTGCTCTGTGGCGAGAGATCAGCTTTGTCCACGCAAGAAGGCAAGCAAAGATAAAGATAAAGTAATTTGCTCGCTTGCTTTTCTTGAGCGTACAGGGCAGGCGCAGCCTTACGGCGACGGACAAGCGCGGCGCGGACGCGCCGCCGCTTCGCAGTGATCGAGAGGCGGCGAGGCCGGTGCGCTTCGATGGTCGTGCGTGCATTCCTGCAATCTTCGTCGCGGGGCAAAATTTTACCCGTGCAGGCCGGCATTTTGCTGGCGGTTTTTTTGCCCGCGCTTTTTTGCCGTCGTGATGTTTTTAGCGAGGCTAATCTGGCGACCCTGCTTTCGCTGTGCCTTAGTAGCAAACCTACTTGAGGAGCCTACTCGCAGGGCCGTGGGAGCGAACCCACCCGAGCGCTCCACTTGCAGCGCCTTCAGAGCGAACCCGGCCGAGCAAGCCAAAAACGCAACAACAACGCAACAACAACTCCACAACAACTCCACAACAACTCCACAACAACTCGACAGCAACTCGACAGCAACTCGACAACAACGCAACAACAACTCGACAACAACGCAACAACTACGCAACAACTACGCAACAACAACGCAACAACAACGCAACAACAACGCAACAACAACGCAACAACAACGCAACAACAACGCAACAACAACCCAACAACAACCCAACAACATACAACTCAGCCCGTAGCCAAAAAAAAAGCCTGGCAAGGGCGGGAAAGCGTGCGCGCTCTCCTTTTTTTATCCACCCAAAAAAGTAAAAGGAGAGATATTCCGGGCGGTCCAACAAAAGCAGAGATATTCGGGGCGGTCCGGCAGAAGTGGAGACATTCGGAGCGGTCAAGCAGAAGGAGAGATATTCGGGGTGGTCAGGCGAAAGCGGAGATATTCGGAGCGGTCAGGCAAAAGTAGAGATATTCGCAGCGGCCGAACCAGTAAAAGTAGAGATATTCGGGGCGGTCAAACAAAAGTAGAGATATTCGGGGCGGTCAGGCAAAAGTGGAGATGGGCGGTCGAGCAAGAGTAGAGAGATTCGGGGCGGTCAGGCGAAAGCGGAGATACTCGGAGCGGTCAAGCAAGAGGAGAGATACTCGCAGCGGCCGAACAAGTAAAAGTAGAGATATTCCGGGCGGTCAAACAAAAGTAGAGATATTCGGGGCGGTCGGGCAAAAGTGGAGATATTCGGAGCGGTCAAGCAAAAATAGAGATACTCGCAGCGGCCGAACGCGTAAGCGTAGAGATATTCCGCGCGGTCGAACAAAAGTAGAGATATTCGGGGCGGTCATGCAAAAGTGGAGATATTCGGAGCGGTCAAGCAAGAGTAGAGATATTCGGGGCGGTCAGGCGAAAGCGGAGAAATTCGGAGCGGTCAAGCAAAAGTAGAGATATTCGCAGCGGCCGAACCAGTAAGAGTAGAGATATACCGGGCGGCCAAAGAAAAGTAGAGATATTCGGGGCGGTCGGGCAAAAGTGGAGATATTCGGAGCGGTCAGGCAAATAAAAGCAGAGATATTCGGGGCGGTCAGGCGAAAGCGGAGATATTCGGAGCGGTCAAGCAAAATTAGAGATATTCGCAGCGGCCGAACAAGTAAGAGGAAAGATATGCCGGGCGGTCAAACAAAAAGCAGAGATATTCGGGGCGGTCAGGCAAAAGCGGAGATATTCGGAGCGGTCAAGCAAGAGTAGAGATATTCGGGGCGGTCAGGCGACAGCGGAGATATTCGGAGCGGTCAAGCAAAAGTAGAGATATTCGCAGCGGCCGAACAAGTAAAAGTAGAGACATTCCGGGTGGTCATTCAAACAACAGTAGAGATATTCGGGGCGGTCAGGCAACAGTGGAGATATTCGGAGCGGTCAAGCAAAAGCAGAGATACTCGGGGCGGTCAGGCGACAGCGGAGATATTCGGAGTGGTCAAGCAAGAGTAGGGATATTCGCAGCGGCCGAACAAGTAAAAGTAGAGACATTCCGGGCGGTCAAACAAAAGAAGAGATATTCGGGGCGGTCAGGCAACAGTGGAGATATTCGGAGCGGTCGAGCAAAAGTAGAGACATTCGGGGCGGTCAGGCGAAAGCGGAGATATTCGGAGCGGTCTTCGGGGGGGGCGGTCAGGCAAAAGTGGAGATATTCGGAGCGGTCAAGCAAGAGTAGAGATATTCGGGGCGGTCAGGCGAAAGCGAAGATACTCGGAGCGGTCAAGTAAAAGTAGAGATATTCGCAGCGGCCGAACAAGTAAAAGTAGAGATATTCCGGGCGGTCAAACAAAAGAAGAGATATTCGGGGCGGCCCGCCAGGCAAAAGGGGAGATATTCGGAGCGGTCAAGCAAAATTTGAGATATTCGGGGCGGTCACGCGAGCGCGGAGATATTCGGAGCGGTCAAGCAAAAGTAGAGATATTCGCAGCGGCCCAACAAGTAAGAGTCGAGATATTCCGGGCGGTCAAACAGCAGCAGAGATATTCGGGGCGGTCAGGCAAAAGTGGAGATATTCGGAGCGGTCAAGCAAAAGTAGAGATATTCGGGGCGGTCAGGCGAGAGCGGAGATATTCGGAGCGGTCAAGCAAAAGGAGAGATATTCGCAGCGGCCGAACAAGTAAAAGTAGAGATATTGCGGGCGGTCCGTCAAACAAAGTTAGAGATATTCCCTCGGGGCGGTCAGGCAAAAGTGGAGACATTCGGAGCGGTCAGACAAAAGTAGAGATATTCGGGGCGGGCAGGCGACAGCGGAGATATTCGGAGCGGTCAAGCAACAGTAGAGATATTCGCAGCGGCCGAACAAGTAAAAGGAGAGAGATTCCGGGCGGTCAAGCAAAAGTAGAGAAATTCGGGGCGGTCAGGCAAAAGCGGAGATATTCGGGGCGGTCAGGCAAAAGTAGAGATATTCGGGGCAAGCGTAGAGATATTCGCAGCGGCCGAACAAGTAAAAGTAGAGATATTCCGGGCGGTCAAACAAAAGGAGAGATATTCGGGGCGGTCAGGCAAAAGTGGAGATATTCCGAGCGGCCAAGCAAAAGGAGAGACTTTCAGGGCGGGCAGGCGAAAGAGGAGATATTCGGAGCGGTCAAGCAAAAGTAGAGAGATTCGCAGCGGCCGAACGAGTAAAAGGAGAGATATTCCGGGCGGTCAGACAAAAGTAGAGATATTCGGGGCCGTCCGGCAAAAGTGGAGATATTCGGAGCGGTCAGGCAAAAGTAGAGATACTCGGGGCGGTCAGGCGAAAGCGGCGACATTCGGAGCGGTCAAGCAAAAGTAGAGATATTCGCAGCGGCCGAACAAGTAAAAGTAGAGAGATTCCGGGCGGTCCGTCAAACAAAAGTAGAGATATTCGGGGCGGTCACTCACTCAGGCAAAAGGGGAGATATTCGGAGCGGTCAGGCAAAAGTAGAGATATTCGGGGCGGTCAGGCGAAGGCGGAGATATTCCTTCGGAGCGGTCAAGCAAAAGTCGAGATATTCGCAGCGGCCGAACAAGTAAAAGTAGAGATATTCCAGGCGGCCACTCAAACAAAAGGAGAGATATTCGGGGCGGTCAGGCAAAAGCGGAGATATTCGGAGCGGTCCAGCAAAAGTAGAGATATTCGGGGCGGGCAGGCGACAGCGGAGATATTCGGAGGGAGCGACCAAGCAAAAGTAGAGATATTCGCAGCGGCCGAACAAGTAAAAGCTGAGATATTCCGGGCGGTCAAACAAAAGTAGAGATATTCGGGGCGGTCAGGCAAATAAAAGCGGAGATATTCGGAGCGGTCAGGCAAGAGTAGAGATATTCGGGGCGGTCAGGCGACGGCGGAGATATTCGGAGCGGTCAAGCAAAAGTAGGGATATTCGCAGCGGCCGTCCGAACAAATAAAAGTAGAGATATTCCGGGCGGTCAGACAAGTGTAGAGATATTCGGGGCGGTCAGGCAAAAGTGGAGACATTCGGAGCGGTCAGGCAAAAGCAGAGATATTCGGGGCGGGCAGGCGAAAGCGGAGATATTCGGAGCGGTCAAGCAAAAGTAGAGATATTCGCAGCGGTCGAACGAGCAAAAGTAGAGATATTCCGGGCGGTCAAACAAAAGCAGAGATATTCGGGGCGGTCAGGCAAAAGTGGAGACATTCGGAGCGGTCAAGTAAAAGTAGGGACAGATACTCGGGGCGGTCAGGCGACAGCGGAGATATTCGGAGCGGTCAAGCAAAAGTAGAGATATTCGCAGCGGCCGAACCCGTAAAAGTAGAGATATTCCGGGCGGTCAAACAAAAGTAGAGACATTCGGGGCGGTCAGGCAAAAGTGGAGATATTCGGAGCGGCCAAGCGACCGTAGATATATTCGGGGCGGTCACGCGGAAGCGGAGATATTCGGAGCGGTCAGGCAAGTCAAGAGCAGAGATATTCGCAGCGGCCGAACAAGTAAAAGCTGAGACATTCCGGGCGGTCAAACAAAAGTAGAGATATTCGGGGCGGTCAGGCAAAAGTGGAGATATTCGGAGCGGTCAGGCAAAAGTAGAGATATTCGGGGCGGTCAGGCGAAAGCGGAGATATTCGGAGCGGTCAGGCAAAAGTAGAGATATTCGGGGCGGTCAGGCGAAAGCGGAGATATTCGGAGCGGTCAAGCAAAAGTAGAGATATTCGCAGCGGCCGTCTCCGAACAAGTAAAAGTAGAGAGATTCCGGGCGGTCAAACAAAAGTAGAGATATTCGGGGCGGTGAGGCAAAAGTGGAGATATTCGGAGCGGTCAGGCAAAAGTAGAGATATTCGGGGCGGTCAGGCGAAAGCGGAGATATTCGGAGCGGTCAAGCAAAAGTAGAGATATTCGCAGCGGCCGTCTCCGAACAAGTAAAAGTAGAGAGATTCCGGGCGGTCAAACAAAAGTAGAGATATTCGGGGCGGTGAGGCAAAAGTGGAGATATTCGGAGCGGTCAGGCAAAAGTAGAGATATTCGGGGCGGTCAGGCGAAAGCGGAGATATTCGGAGCGGTCAAGCAAAAGTAGAGATATTCGCAGCGGCCGTCTCCGAACAAGTAAAAGTAGAGAGATTCCGGGCGGTCAAACAAAAGTAGAGATATTCGGGGCGGTGAGGCAAAAGTGGAGATATTCGGAGCGGTCAGGCAAAAGTAGAGATATTCGGGGCGGTCAGGCGAAAGCGGAGATATTCGGAGCGGTCAAGCAAAAGTAGAGATATTCGCAGCGGCCGTCTCCGAACAAGTAAAAGTAGAGAGATTCCGGGCGGTCAAACAAAAGTAGAGATATTCGGGGCGGTGAGGCAAAAGTGGAGATATTCGGAGCGGTCAGGCAAAAGTAGAGATATTCGGGGCGGTCAGGCGAAAGCGGAGATATTCGGAGCGGTCAAGCAAAAGTAGAGATATTCGCAGCGGCCGTCTCCGAACAAGTAAAAGTAGAGAGATTCCGGGCGGTCAAACAAAAGTAGAGATATTCGGGGCGGTGAGGCAAAAGTGGAGATATTCGGAGCGGTCAGGCAAAAGTAGAGATATTCGGGGCGGTCAGGCGAAAGCGGAGATATTCGGAGCGGTCAAGCAAAAGTAGAGATATTCGCAGCGGCCGTCTCCGAACAAGTAAAAGTAGAGAGATTCCGGGCGGTCAAACAAAAGTAGAGATATTCGGGGCGGTGAGGCAAAAGTGGAGATATTCGGAGCGGTCAGGCAAAAGTAGAGATATTCGGGGCGGTCAGGCGAAAGCGGAGATATTCGGAGCGGTCAAGCAAAAGTAGAGATATTCGCAGCGGCCGTCTCCGAACAAGTAAAAGTAGAGAGATTCCGGGCGGTCAAACAAAAGTAGAGATATTCGGGGCGGTGAGGCAAAAGTGGAGATATTCGGAGCGGTCAGGCAAAAGTAGAGATATTCGGGGCGGTCAGGCGAAAGCGGAGATATTCGGAGCGGTCAAGCAAAAGTAGAGATATTCGCAGCGGCCGTCTCCGAACAAGTAAAAGTAGAGAGATTCCGGGCGGTCAAACAAAAGTAGAGATATTCGGGGCGGTGAGGCAAAAGTGGAGATATTCGGAGCGGTCAGGCAAAAGTAGAGATATTCGGGGCGGTCAGGCGAAAGCGGAGATATTCGGAGCGGTCAAGCAAAAGTAGAGATATTCGCAGTGGCCGAACGAGTAGCAGCAGAGATATTCCGGGCGGTCAGACAGCAGTAGAGATATTCGGGGCGGTCAGGCAAAAGCGGAGATATTCGGAGCGGTCAAGCAAGAGGAGAGATATTCGGGGCGGTCACGCGAAAGCGGAGACATTCGGAGCGGTCAGGCAAAAGTAGAGATATTCGCAGCGGCCGAACAAGTAAAACTATCTAGACAGAGATATTCCGGGCGGTCGAACAAAAGTAGAGACATTCGGGGCGGTCAGGCAAAAGTGGAGATATTCGGAGCGGTCGAGCAAAAATAGAGATATTCGGGGCGGTCAGGCGAAAGCGGAGATATTCGGAGCGGTCAAGCAAAAGTAGAGACTGATATTCGCAGCGGCCGAACAAGTACAAGTAAAAGTAGACATATTCCGGGCGGTCGAACAAAAGTAGAGATATTCGGGGCGGTCAGGCAAAAGCGGAGATATTCGGGGCGGTCAAGCAGAAGTAGAGATATTCGGGGCGGTCAGGCGAAAGCGGAGATATTCGGAGCGGTCAAGCAAAAGGAGAGATATTCGCAGCGGCCGAACAAGTAAAAGTAGAGACTGATACTCCGGGCGGTCAAACAAAAGTAGAGACATTCGGGGCGGCCAAGCAAAAGCGGACACATTCGAAGCGGTGAAGCAAAAGCAGAGATATTCGGGGCGATCACGCGAGAGTGGAGATATTCGGAGCGGTCGAGCAGAAGTAGAGTCAGTCCGTTGATTTTGCGTTCCAATGAATGTGGGGCCATTTCTGGAAGACCAGGCCCCAGTTTCAGAAGCTTGCTATTGAGTAAAGGGGAGGGGGGTCTTTCATTTTAACATTTGCCCAAGCTGCACTACGTCGACGGGATGATCAAAGCGGAGCACTTTTTTCCTGCAGGGGTAGAATTCAATCAGGAGGGGCTTCCACTTCGTGGGGCGGCACCCTCCGCGCATGTCGTCTTCGAGCCCGCCGCCCTGCAGTATCAAGTGCAAATATGTCTGGGTCTGGAAGAGTGTAGACTTGTCACGCAGATTTTCCATGACCCACAATGTCTGGAATGCGGGACCTAGCATGACAGACTCTGCGAGGTCTCTGTCATGCCTATCCTCCATGAGAAACTCCCTCCCAAGTTGGTCGAAAGTGGACTGCTTTGGGCTCTCATGCAACACAGATCTTTGCATGATTCACATTTAGAAGCATGATAAGTTGCAATCTTCCAGACCCAGACATATTTGCAATCCATATGCAGATGAGCGACGCGATCTACGCCCGGCTGCCCTTCACGTATCAAATGTAAAAACGTCTGGGTCTGGAAACTTGTGATGCTGGGTGGCGTATCATGAGGAGGCCACAAGAGCTGGCCAAGCATGACAAGTTTTTGAGCTCCTAGGTGTTGCCTATTCCGCATGACAAACTGCGTTTCTGCATGACAGAAAAATGAGGCTCTTGGGTAACATGCATGACAGATTTAAGAGTCATGCCAGACAAGCATGACGAACACACATTCTTCCAGACCCAGACATTTATTTTTACATTTGATATCACGCCCATGCACGCCATCTACCAGACCGTGCTTGACTTTGTCGAGCGTAAGTTCTTCCCCGCACAAAGAAGTCAGGAACCACCCGCGTCGGCCCCCGGCGGCGGTAGTGCAATTGTAACAGGAAGCACTACAACTGCTACTACTGCAGCTAGTACCCCCGCCGCGAGTACGAGAACTGCCACGACCCCGCCGCCCGTCTGGTCAGAGAAGCTCCGCAGAAAAGACAGCAGAGCGGCTGGCGTAGACGCTACCGGCTCCGAGCACCAGAGCCAGATGACTTATGATCTTCTACATGAAAGTCTCACGGAAGCGCAGCGGTCCTGGCTTTCCTTCCGAGTGTGGTTTGACGACATGGCGGCGGAATACTACGACGGCGTGATTGCGTATGGAAAGAAAAAAATTCGTCGCAGTCCCTAATACTATAATCTTGCAACCTGTGCATGACAGGAGATTCACCTGGCGTTACAGCTTTTTCTATGTATCATTCCGCAAACACAAGGGGAGTCGCGTATGAAGTCTAGTCTTGCCTTGTGATGCTGCATTTCTACCCATGATGAGAGACAGCTTCGTGTTAGAAGAATCCGTATGAGTCGTGATCCTGATCGTGACAAATTTTGTTTCGTGCATATTGCGGGGCCGGGCCGGTCGCGTGGTAGTCCTGGTCAAACGCAGTACATTCTGCAGCGCGCGCCCGGAAATGTGCCCGAGCGAATGGAGATTACTGAGGAGCTATCAAATGTAAAAATGTCTGGGTCTGGAAGAATCCGAAATTTCTTATGCTGTTTTTGCATGACACAGAATGTCTGTCATGGAAGCCCTAGCATCACAGATCTTGCCTTCCTGATACCTATTCCGCATGACAAATGCCCTCCACGCGTAGCACAAACCGGACTCCTTTTGCTGGTCATGCACTACAGAATTTTTTAGAGTCCAAAGTTAGCATCACAAGTTCCAACCTTCCAGACCCACACATTTTTGCAATCCATAGGAGCAGATTGTTTTTGACCAGGACAGAAAGCAGCGGCACAAATTCTTCGGAAGGATCGGTCTCTTTTTCACGTTTTATCAAATGCAAAGATGTCTGGGTCTGGAAGAATGCAACTTGTGATGCTGCGTTTCGATTCCAAAAAAATCTGTATTGCATGAGCAGAAAAGGAAATGCAATTTTTGCTACGCGGAGCGGGCATTTGTCAGGCGGAATAGGCACCGAGAAGCCCTCAAAAAATCTGTGATGCTGGGGCACGCATCGCAGACGTCATGGCTCATGCAAAACGTGCGTGACAAGTCTTAGAACCTTCCAGACCCAGACACTTTTGCACTTGATACTTTCTGCTACTCGACAGTGGCCTACTTGCGGAATCGGCGGAGCCGAAACATGGCCGTGCGGGACTGCGTACGGCAAGAAAGGGCAAAAATGCAGGACGAAGAGGATCAACATCTTGTAGCGGACAGAAGACGCGACCGCACGGAGTGGAACGACAAAAACGGCGAAACACTCACAAAAGCGGATCGTGGCAATGACCCAGAAGCAGTAGAGCGTATCCCTCGCAAACATAATCGATCTGGATCTGAGAGATTGTAGATGGATTCTAATTCTTGCAGAAGTTTCTAAATGCAGCTTTTCAGTGCGCCATGAAACGGTCGCTCAACTTGAGGACCGCTAGTGGGCAAGACCTTGTTTATTTCCACTCATGATCACGCAGCACGGAAGATTTTTGTGTCCTGACGCTGCAAGGGGAATGTCACAGGACTGGATGAACATCTTTCAGACAGCCCGGGAAGTACTAGATGTTTGCAATGCATAGAACAAGAGGTCTATGGAGAGAAAAAAGTTTGTCACAGTCACTAAGTTGCAGGTTTTGCATTGCAAATTTTTTTTGCATCACAACTTCTTCTTGTATTGCAGAAACACTAGGGAAATCCCTTATGAAGTGTGGCTGTGATGCATTTTTACGCATGACAGACAATTTTGTCTTGCAAAAATGCCCATGGGTGATCGTGGCGAACTTTTTTCTTTTCATAAGGTCCTGCACTTCGACCAGTTTCCAGCTCTTCTCCGGCCCCCGGTGGAAGCGGATCCATTTTACCTGAGCGAGATATGAATTGCAAAAGTGTCTGGGTCTGGAAGAATGGCAGACTTGTCATGCAGGTTTTCCATGACCCATCAGGTCTGGTATGTAGGACATAGCATGACAGATTCAGATTCTGTGAGAGCTCTATCATGCCTATCCTGCATGAGAAACTGCCTCGCGATTAGGTCAAAAGTGGACAGCTTGTGGTAATCATGCAACACAGGTGTCTTTTTACATGATTCAGATTTAGCATGACAAGTTGCATCCTTCCAGACCCAGACACTTTTACATTTGATACGAGAAGCTGCGCCACCAAAGCAGCGGGTTTAACTGGCGCAATATCCAGTGCAAATCATATGTCCAGGTCTGGAAAGTTGGAACTTGTCATGCTAGCTGTACATCCCTGGGTGGAAATCTGTATTGCATACCCAACACAAGTCGCAGCCTCTCTTTTCATGCGACAAAACGTAGTTTCTCGTGCGGACCACTGCACTACGAGAAAGCGTTTTAGCAAGTTGTCATGCTGGGGCGCAATCGGACGTGTTTCCATCATCTACATTGATTTTAGTATCACAAGTTCTCTCCAGAGGACCCAGACATGCTTGCAATTGATACGCAACGCTTTGGTGCCTGTCATCGGATTCAACTTCGCCAATCTGCTCTTCGTCTACCCCTTTGCCGTCAATGGGACCTATCCATTGCAAATATATTTATCTGGGTTGGGAAAAGTGGACCGTGTGTTGCATGTCTTGCATTCTTGAAAACTCTGTGTTGCACAGCCAGCAAAGTCGCTACTTTTTCGTCACGCAAGAACCACGCAGTGCGTCATGCGTGCTACGCATCAGACGGCGTGAACTGAAGTCGTCATGCTTGGCTGCACTTGAAAGCGCCAGTGACTTATCCATACTTCAGCATCACAAATTTCCAGAGGATCCAAACATATTTGCAATGCATAGGGTCTACTTCTTTGCCATGCCGGCAGTGACGGCCGGGTTCGTTACCGGCAGTTTGGGACTGATCCTTTGGCACGACTTGTTTTACCTGTGAGGATGAAAAAATAGATAGGGAAAAAATAACAGCGTAGATGTAGTACGTCTTCCACATCAAGGCTCGCTGCAGCAAACGGTAGTGACCCCTTCTGGTCAAAGTCAAAGTGAAGTCGTCCACGGTTCAAGTGGTCCGTGCAGCAAAATATTAACATAGAGTTCCTTTCATTTTACGCCGTACTTGTAAAAGTGTCAATCGATATCGATGGTACTGTTGTACATGGTGCAGTTCTTCTTTCCTCCACCTGTGTTCTTCGAACGATATTAGAAGCGTGGTTATTCTAAGAGTCTTCCTGAAGATTGCCTTGCAACAATGATGCTTTCAACATTCAAATCGGATCCACCCTGCCTGCAACATCAGCATCACCTGGCAGTATTAAAAAACAAAGATATCATCATCATCACTCACAACCACAAGAAGGATCATCATCACGTAGCGCAGCAGCGCAGGCTTTCTAAGCACCATGGAAGCCGTGCCAAGTCCGCCTTTCATCAACATCACACTCGCAATTCAACAATCTTTTACAACCGCCCGGCGTTACGCCCGTGTCTACTCTTCACTTGCATGCACATGTTGTAGCTCTTGGTAGTAGTTCTTGTACAACATATACGAAGAGGAAACTTGGGCAATGTGTAGAAAAAGTACTTTCATGCACCCGACTCCGCCACCTTTTTTTTCCACTACTTGTTCTAGATTTTCTTCCTATTTTTCCACGCACAAATCAAAACGAAAACATAATTGGTTGATGCTAGAATTATGCACAGTCGAATCCAGTGGTATAATCTTTTAGTAACGAATGATGTACATCACAGGCCGGCAACGAAGATCTCGATCTCGAAAGTTTGTTTGGAAAGGTGGACATCAATAACTCTGAAACAAGGAAGAACGACTTTTAGGCAAGGCGGAGGTGTAGTTGTACTTGTACTTGACGGGGAAAACATTGAAAATGTCCGTGTGACGTTGATTGTCGCCGTCGGTACTCAGTTGATGTAATACGAAAGCCAAAGAAATTCTGCTGAAGAACCGCACAAAGAAATTGATTCATCTTCGCGACAAGATCAAGAACATGAGTGCTGTGGAATCGACAGTACCCGCCAACAAGAGCTGCAAAATTAAGCCGCTCCCGCAAGGTTTGCGTCGCACGAATGCGAAAAAGCCGCCGCCGCCCGCTGCAAAGCATAACCTGTCGCTCCACTATCCTGTGCAAAAGTATCGCACTCGTAGTAATTGCAGTCATGCATTACCAATCTCGTTCCCAAGGCAAATCAGCATGACAAATTGCATTTGTCATGCTGAGGGAATTTGTTATGCAATTTATACTAGTACGATACTTTTGCAGTTCATATCCACGTGACTCTGCCAACTACTACGAGGAGGAACATCACTGCCCCCGCTGCACAAAATCAACAACCGGCGACTTCGGTTGTCGTGCCGGCCGCGGCTGAAACTCAAACACAAACTACAGCTGTTGTGAACAATAATAATCAAACTACGACTACTTCTTCTACTACTACTGCAACGACGAGTACGGCTTTCTCGAAGGCGACATCCAAGGCTGCCGGAGGGCCACCAAGTCTTGGAACGGTAGCTGCACCCGCCCAACCCGAAGTAGAACTACCCGCCGAGCCCATTCCCGCCGTCTCCAAGGCCCGGGGCCCGCCTCCGCCGGGAGATGAAAACAGTACTAAACCGTCTACTTCCGACGGAGCAGCTGCACTAGGTGTAGACAACGACGACCTGCAGGCGCTACCCAAGGCGGTGCCGAAGGCGGGCTATCAACTGTAAATATCGCTCTGGGTCTGGAAGATTAAAACTTATCATGCTCAATCTGAATGATGCAAAAATCTGTGATATTGCGTGAGTACCAAAAGCCGTCCGCTTTTGACCAAATTGAGAGGGAGTTCCTCATGCAGGAAACGCATGATAGAGACCGCAAAGAATCTGTCATGCTAGGTCTCGCATTGCAGACCTCATGGCTCATGCAAAACGTGCATGGCAAGTCTCAGAATCTTCCAGACTTAGACATATTTGCACTGCATACGGGCGGTTTGGTCGCGAAGCTCGCCGCGGTGGGCGTGAACGTGGAGCAAGCTGTATGCAAGAGAAAAAAGAAAAACTGTGTAAGCGTGACTTTGTGTTGCACACGCACGCAAAGCAATTCTCACTTGCTATGCTCAACATGCATTTTTACAGGCTAAAGTAGTCTCATATGTGTTTACTTTTATTTCATCGCGCACTATAATTTCTTGCGCACTAGACAGGCTTTCCATTACCTTTTTATTTCACTCGGGGTCCCTTTTGACCCCGAATAGATTTGAAAAGCCGTCCATGCCGTGCGGGTTCGAAAGGGGGTGCCTGGGTTCAAATTTTTATGGTTTTTGCTTGACAAACTCAATTATCTCAAGCTTTTCTTATTTCGCACCTGTTTCCGTCACCTCCTTAATTCATTCGGGGTCTCTTTTGACCCCGAATAGATTTGGTCCGCCCATACCGTGCGGGTTCGAAAGGGAATGCCTGGCTTCAAGTTTTTAGGGTTTTTGCTTGACAAACTCAATTATCTCAAGCTTTTCTTATTCCGCACCTGTTTCCGTCACCTTCTTATTTAATTCGGGGTCTCTTTTGACCCCGAATAGATTTAAGAATCTGTCCATACCGTGCGGGTTCGAAAGGGAATGCCTGGCTTCAAGTTTTTAGGGTTTTTGCTTGACAAACTCAATTATCTCAAGCTTTTCTTATTCCGCACCTGTTTCCGTCACCTTCTTATTTAATTCGGGGTCTCTTTTGACCCCGAATAGATTTAAGAATCTGTCCATACCGTGCGGGTTCGAAAGGGAATGCCTGGCTTCAAGTTTTTAGGGTTTTTGCTTGACAAACTCAATTATCTCAAGCTTTTCTTATTCCGCACCTGTTTCCGTCACCTTCTTATTTAATTCGGGGTCTCTTTTGACCCCGAATAGATTTAAGAATCTGTCCATACCGTGCGGGTTCGAAAGGGAATGCCTGGCTTCAAGTTTTTAGGGTTTTTGCTTGACAAACTCAATTATCTCAAGCTTTTCTTATTCCGCACCTGTTTCCGTCACCTTCTTATTTAATTCGGGGTCTCTTTTGACCCCGAATAGATTTAAGAATCTGTCCATACCGTGCGGGTTCGAAAGGGAATGCCTGGCTTCAAGTTTTTAGGGTTTTTGCTTGACAAACTCAATTATCTCAAGCTTTTCTTATTCCGCACCTGTTTCCGTCACCTTCTTATTTAATTCGGGGTCTCTTTTGACCCCGAATAGATTTAAGAATCTGTCCATACCGTGCGGGTTCGAAAGGGAATGCCTGGCTTCAAGTTTTTATGGTTTTTGCTTGACAAACTCAATTATCTCAAGCTTTTCTTATTCCGCACCTGTTTCCGTCACCTTCTTATTTCATTCGGGGTCTCTTTTGACCCCGAATAGATTTAAGAGTCTGTCCATACCGTGCGGGTTCGAAAGGGGGTCCCTGGGTTCACGTTTTTATGAGTTTTGCTTGACAAACTCAATTTTCTGAGGCTTTTCTTAGTCCGCATCTGTTTCCGTCACCTTCTTATTTCATTCGGGGTCCCTTTTGACCCCGAATAGATTTGGTCCGCCCATACCGTGCGGCTTCAAAAAGGGATGTCTGGGCTCAAGTTTTTGTAGTTTTTGCTTGACAAACTCAATTATCTCAAGCTTTTCTTATTCCGCCCCTGTTTCCTTCCCCTTCCTATTCCATTCGGGGTCCATTTTGACCCCGAGTAGATCTGAAAATCCCTCCATACCGTGCGGGTTCGAAACGGGATGCCTGGGCTCAAGTTTTTATAGTTTTTGCTTGACAAGCTCAATCTTCTGAAGCTTTTCTTCTTCCGCACCTGTTTCCGTCCCCTTCCTATTTAATTCGGGGTCCATTTTGACCCCGAGTAGATCTCGAAATCCCTCCATACTGTGCGGGTTCGAAAAGGGATGTCTGGGCTCAAGTTTTTGTAGTTTTTGCTTGACAAACTCAATTATCTCAAGCTTTTGTTATTCCGCCCCTGTTTCCGTCGCCTTCTTATTGCGCTCGGGGTCTTTTGTGACCCCGAATAGATTTGAAAAGCCCACCACGCCGTGCGGGTTCGAAAGGGGATGTCTGGATTTGAGTTTTCGTGATAGTTTTTAGTATTGCTATAGTATACTACGCTAACACAATTTCATTCCTGGATGAGCTAACGAGGTAGGGACCGTGCAGCAGCAGCTCGGAGATGGCTCGTCTGGCGCGGGGGCCACCGGACGACAAGGACAAGATCCATCTGCGCAGCAGGAAGCGGACCGTAATACCAGCGCAGCAGCCGATATCACGGGAAAAAAGTGTTACAGTTACACATTTGTTGGAGTTTCTGCATCGCAAAGTTGCTCGACATGGCCAAGAAAACCTGTGATGCGCAGACTACAAGGGAAAACACGAGTGAAATGAGGCTGGCAACCATTTCCTGCATGACAAAGGTTGTCTGTCTTGCTGGTCTTCCATCAGAGTGTGTAACTGTAACATTTTTTTCGCAGGATAGCCGAGGACAACCTGGCGTTGTTTCGGAATATCACCAGACAGGTCACCATATCCTGTGCAAAAGTATCGCACTCGTATAAATGCAAGTCATGCATTACAAATCTTGTTCCCAAGGCAAATCTGCATTACAAATTTTATTGGGTAAAAAGGACAAATCCCAAGAAGACTAGCAAAATCTCAAGAAGAAATGGACAAATCTCAAGAAGAAATGGGCAAATCTTAGGGTTTGGGTTTGGGGTCTAGGGTTTGGGGTTTCTGGTCGTCGGCCAGGGCAGCCGCCGCCGGCCGGCCGGCCGGCGGCGGCTGCCCTGGCCGACGACTCTCTCTTCTCGTTTTTGGAAGGTGGCGGCCCCGCGCCCTGCCCGCCTTCGTGTTTGTTCTGTCGCTTCCTTGGGGTTCTCCTGGTTGGCGCTGGCCAGCTCCTTGGCCGGCGGGCCTCGGGATTGGGGCACACAGCGCAGCCGCGCAGAACTTGGCGGCTTGGTCCCTCACCCGGGTCCCCCTCGCAGGGAGACCGCGGACGGGCCGCGGGGTGTCCTTGTGTATTTTTCCAGGCCAGGATGCCGTCGTGCATCATGTTATGCATGATGGAGTGTTGCTTGCAAAAAAACACAGTAGATTCAGAAGAACCGAATGCCCGCGAATAGCTTTGACGTGGCCCCGCACACCGTCGTGCATAACGTTCTCGCTCGCCAAAACATCTCCTTCTCTCCGCCCTCTGCTTTCCATCTGCTTTTCGCCTTCTCTCTGCCGTCTTCTTTCGATCTGCTTTTCGCCTTTTCTTTGCCCTCTTCCTCGATTCGATTCCAACGTAGAATAATGCGTTTCCACAGGCAGGAAGTTTTCAGTGAAAACTTCCTGTCTGTGAACTATACCATGGTGTATAAAGTTCTCCCTGAAAAATCCGTAACCATTCTTCTTGAGATTTTTAACAAGTCAAGCAATTTGAAAATTAAGCATTTTCTTTTTGGGGTGGGTTCTTCTTGAGCTTTTCTTCTTGAGATTTGTCCACTTTAACCAATTTTATTTCTCATGCTGAGGAAATTTGTCATGCATTTATACGAGTGCGATACTTTTGCAGTCCATACACCAGACGCGCCACGTCGGGGCTATGACCTGCTCAAACGTTACAACCTCAAACGTTACTCAATAGGATTTGGGTTTTGTATTGCATGACGAGCATGACAGACTCGGACAGCATTCCATTTTCTGCAATACAAATTTCGCCAAATTGTAGTGCGGATTGGGGCGACTCCAGAACTTGTCATGCGCATCAATCCTACGAGAGTCGGCTACTACGTAATGCACTTCTTGCAGCACACATTCCAGATTCTATGATAACCGATTTGAGATTGTAACACCTGAGCAGGTTATAGGGGCTGTACAAGCATGAGGAGTGGCTGGCCCGGCTATCAAATGTAAAAGTGTCTGGGTCTGGAGGATTCTGAAACTTGTCATGCATATTTTGCATGAGTCGTGATGTCTGTGATGCATGCCCTGGCATCACAGATTTTTTCTGGGCTTCTTGATCTTGATGCCTAGTCCGCATGACAAATGCCCTCTCTCCGAAGCAAAAAATACACTCATTTTGCTGCTCATGCAATGCAGGTTTCTTTGGAATCCAAATGCAGCATCACAAGTTGCATTTTTCCAGACCCAGACACTTTTGCACTCGATACCGGCGGCATGACGACAAGGTCCGACGGATCGAGGAAGAAAAGCGCCAGGCACGTATCCTGTGCAAAAGTATCGTAAAAGACTTCTACGTAGAAATCGCATCACAAATAGAAGCGCAGCATGACAGCGATAGAACTTGTAATTCTGATTTAATACCTCGGGAAGAAGATTAACATTTGCAGCCACGCATGTTCGCGATGTATTATTGGAACGAGCTGTACGATAGTACTTTTGCAATGCATAGCCCGACGCGCGGAACGGTGGTACAATAACGATCGTAACAGAGAGGGCCGCGCCAGAAGTCGGCGAAACGACTCGCGAGGACGCAGGAGCTACGGGCGGGGGAATAAAAAAGATGACCGGGACGACCACCGGGACAAAAATGTGAGCAGGAGCAGGGTACGGCGATTGTCCAGTCGCGATCGTCGGGACTCACGAGGCGGAAAAGGACGGGACAGGTATACTGAAGATAAAGCAAGAGAACTTTGTTTTTCTTCTTATAAAAACCGTATATTTATTGTCATGCCTAAAAGTAGAAAGAGAAAAAGAACCAGTCATGCGTGATCTCAACTACTTCTACACTTAGAATTTGTACTACTTATCACAGAAGCAGCTACCGCGATACAACGGCCCGAACTACTGGTGCAAACTCCCGCCGTCGTGAGGAAGATGACAGCAGGGATGACAACTACCACAACGACAACAAAAACCGCTGCTCCCGGAGTCGTGGACGTGGTGGTCGTGGTGGCGGTGTGAATGGCAATGACAACGGTAAAAAAAAGGATAAAAAGCGAAACTACTCCGAGGACGAAAGCGAGAAGAATTACTCTACCAGCAAGAAGAACAAGAAACCTGCTCCCTCTTCGTCCATATGCATTGCAAAAATGTCTGCGTCTGGAAGATTGGTGCGGTTTGTCATGCTTGTCTGGCATGACCAAAAAATTTGTGATGCGTGTCAACGAAGAGACCCTTTTGCCTGTCATGCAAAAACGCAGTTTGTCATGCGAGAAACGCAATACAAGGAAGTGCAGATATTTCTCATGCTTGGCTGTGCATTACAGAGCATTCACTATTCCCAACGCAGCATTACAAGTTTCCAGACCCAGACACTTTTGCATTTGATAGTCCACCGACGAGAGCAAGAAAAGAAGTGGCACTGGTGCTCCCGCGGACAGGTAGAAGGATCTTAAGGAAAACTGTTTCTGGGTTTTATTTAACTCTGTCATGCAGAAATTGAACGTAGACAACGGCCCAATTCTAAGCATAATGTCGCTTGTCAACATCCGATGACTAGAGAATAACAAAAACCCTAGGAAAAAACTCGTGCACTATCAAATCGCTCCTGTGTACAAATACCTGTGCGTCCTGGCAAACACTTTTGCAGTCATGATCTAATGCTGAGAGCGCTTGAAGCGCTATAATCCGCCGAAAAAAAGAACAAAACTCTGGAAATTTCAACTTCTCTTCTGGGTATTAAACTAACAGGTCGACCAAAAAGCACAAGAAGGAAAAAGTAAGCAGGACATCAACATCTGACAGCCGGGAACAGAGTAACAGCAAGCGGAAGGGCCGTGGGGGAGACAAGAAGCAGAGTTTATTGTGAGGAAACGTTTTCGTGATCCCTCCTCCGCTTTTTGAAAAGGTGGTCTAGTACAACTTGTGAAAATTTGTGATGCTGATTTATTATCTGTGGCCACAAAGCGCACGCCTGTCCGTCTTGCACGAGGTTCCTGAGTTGTAAACCGCAAACATCCAGCATACACAAGTTTGCGTTTGAGTACGGGGAAGTAGATGGGGGATCAGCATTTTTGATTTTGATACAGCAGCAAGCAGAAAAACGACAGTCGAGGCCGAGATGACAGTCGAGGACGGGACGACAGTCGAGGCCGAGACGACAGTCGAGGCCGAGATGACAGTCGAGGACGAGATGACAGTCGAGGACGGGACGACAGTCGTGGGAGATAAAAAGACACTGCATCTTCAGCATTTATCCTGTGCAAAGTATCGTACTCGTGAAAGGTAAGAATTGCAATGATGCATGGCCAAACTTTTTTCCATATGCAATTCACAATGGCAAAGAACGGAAGAACTCCATTTGTCATGCTGTAGCAAAAATGCAATTCCTATTAGCACCTACGACACTTTTGCCATCCATAAGCGGTGTACAACCAGCACAATCTCGACGTCCAGAACTCGTTTGCACAATCTCGGGCCGCTCGAGACGACCGAACGACCAACTACACCTTTTTTCCAGAAGAAGTAGAAACACGATTAGTTCTGTGCCGGTTGCATCGAAGAAGATGGAAGCAGGTCTCACCGATAATTGCGTGAAGATCTCATATGCAAATCGGCCATTAGCTAAGTTACCCGGAAGAGAATTATTCAACAGAGATTTTTTCAACAAGGAAAAGTTTTGTTGGATTGGCGACTACACCTCGATTTTTTCATATCACTTTATTTCATCATCAAACAACCAAAAGCACGATACAAGGTTTTCGACATCCACCAAATATACGACTAGTATTTCGAACCGCGACCATAACTTTGATGTCCGCGGCGCTGCTTGGTTTTGTCGAACCGAAGAAACCACAGCGGATGTATTCTTTTTGCTGCGAACTTCATGAAGCTGTCGAACGAATCAATGCACAATCCGCATGACAAAGTGCTTGCGGCAAGATGAGCTGTGGAATTTGTGTTGCAAAAAACCGCGATGTTCTAACCGGCCGGGGAAGAGAAATAGATGATGATGAGATGAAGATAAAAGTCGATGTGAGGACGAAGCGATGCTGTTCTTTTCTACCAATCAATTTTTGATGTTTGCCGAATCGAAAAGATGTTGATAAATTGCTGCTTGTGAAACTCAAACTGAGTGCTTGTCTTTTTTGAATTTGTATTGCGTTTTTCCGACATCACACGATGGAAATGTTGGAATGAAAATTTGAGTTTCAAACAACCACCAACAAGTCTTAGAACCGTCCAGACCGAGACACTTTTGCACTTGATGCGTTTTGCTACTCGACAGTGGCCTACTTGCGGAATCGGCGGAACCGAAACGTGGCCGTGCAGGACTGCATACGGCAAGAAAGGGCAAAAATGCAGGACGAAGAGGATCAACATCTTGTAGCGGACAGAAGACGCGACCGCACGGAGTGGAACGACAAAAACGGCGAAACACTCACAAAAGCGGATCGTGGCAATGACCCAGA